GAGAGAGAGAGAGTGAGGAGAGGGGCGGGAAAATGACGTTTGGCAGTTCTTTCGCTGCGGGATTTATTTATCGCAGCACACATACATACGTGCGCGCACGTACACATATACACACGCACACATTGTGCAACTTGAAACAGGTTCTTTCCGTGTGCGAAATTACTTTCTACAGAAACAGTGTGCGTTTAGCGGGCGGTCGCGCGCACGCTAAGTGCAAGGACTTCGCGCGGTTCGGCGATCGTTCGAAATCCAAATTCACGCAACATCAACCACCGAGCGTTAATCAATGTTTCTGAATGACGTTGATATTTCGACAGAATTTCAGACGCGATTCGGCGCTCTGGAGAAACAGGCGAGTGATTTAAACGTTTGTGTTGCGATGGTGAAACGCTATGAATAATAGTGTTCTTAAAGCTATGGAATTTCGCTGTTATATAATTGTTGTAATAATTATACCTTGAAACAGAATATCAATTAATCTCGGACAAAAATTTCCCGAGATTCCAAATTTTCCGAGGACATCCTGTGAAACACTCGGAAAAAAGGTGGGCGCCGTTGCTCGTTTCGCAACGAAACAGAAAACTCAAAAAATAACGCACATCATCATATCGATATTATATTCTCATTAACAAACAGTAAATATATAAATCAAAAATGGAAAATACAATTAAAGCGCGAGGAAAACTGTGAAAAATTTCAAGTTTATCCACGATTTCAAATGAAACATTTCGCTTTCTTCCTTTTTCTTTTCGTCAAAAACTAAAAGTCCAACTTTCATGGTAAAATTTCGAGTTCAAAGTGTCGAAACAATCGAAAGATTTTCCACCTTTGATTTTGAAATGTCAATCGGCTACAAGTGCAGCGAAATCCTGAAATATGCTGTATAAAGGAAGACAAGTGTTCTCTCACAAAGGCATTATATAATAATCGATGAAGAATATACATCCAAGTGTGTGAAAAAACGGCGTGACGATTCCGAAGCTTCGGGATAATATCCGAAGGGTCGACGCGTGTGCCCTTTCCGACATTATTACCTCTCTCGCTCGGGACAAGGACACCCGCGGGGCAGGTTGTCCGATATCGATGTTGATTTTTAGACTTTTAATACACTTATCTATGACAGTAAAAAAAAAAGGCTGACGTCTCCGTGTGACTCTCGGTCGCTTGATGGCGGCGACAGAAGAGATGTCGTACCAGATAGTGCATTTACAGTATTCAGGGCCCGTGTAAACGCGCATCTGGCACGAGCCCCGACTGCCCTGTAATCTCGTATTGGCTCGCTTCCGCTCTCGGCTCTCGTTCTCATGCTCTTTTTACTCGTTAATCTTCTATCCCCCTTTTCTTCCCCCCCTCGCATATATATATCTGCCTGCCCTTTTATCTTTTCCCTCGCGCTTCAAGTCGCATTTGTTTATGCGAAATTGCCGTAATATTAATAATAGAAAAGTGTCTCGGCTGAGCGATGATACTTAATTTGTATCGCTGGGTATCGCAATTCATCGTGATCGTTAAAAATGCAAACACACTTATGTAACGATGCTCAAGTCACGCGAGTATCTCCGGCGCGTAATTAAATCCGTGGTTCGATCGAGAAAGAGGAAACGGTTCGCGCGCAACGTCGGAGGATACATGTGAGAATTTAGCTGGGTGGCCGCCGAGAATTCTCTCCTCGGAGCTCTCGCGAAGCGGCGACGGGAGGAGTTAAGGGCTTCTCGGCCGCGCCGCGTCTCTTCCAGAAGGACGTCAGCTGATGCTATTTTCCCCCTCGAAGCGCGAAACGAGAAGAGGACGACGCTGCTAATAATAGCGGCCACTGTCCCCGGTGCCACGACGCTCCGGCGTCGGGACGCGTCGTCGCTTCGCGCCGTGTCGTAGCTAACGGCGCGATCCCCGTTTAATGCGAGCATTGGCGCAGGTACGTCTTTCGACTGCTTTTAGACAGTTGATTCTCGATGGATGACGTCGGCGCATCCCAAGGACGAGAGTCGCGCTTTCGCCGACGTTCCACCGAGTTGGAAAAACTTCCTGCGTTATTTATTTACCGTCGCGCATATTCCCGAGATAATCCGTTATCTTTAACGATTATCGCGAACACCGAATATATTCTCCCGATATATTTAGAAGAAGTAAAGAGCTGGACGTGATATAAATAGTCACCACACCGTGCATTTTTCAATGCAGAATTAATCTTTTTTTCATGCGACTGTTATTATCGTGCTCTCACATCTGTCAATTATTTATTATTTATTGCAATAATAATTATTATTATTCGTAAACTGCTCGATTATTCCTTTTTTGCGCGCAGATAATAAAAGCTCATCGATTGTTGTCGCGTGAATTTTC